AGAAAAGTTGTCGGGCAATTGTTGGAGATTCCAAAAATAATATTATATACAGAGTGTTCCATTTGAAAAATCAAAGTTGCTACTGCTTTCTAATAGAAGCGGCAACACCGCATTGTCGAAAATATTTTAGTTGGCTAGAGAATGTCCGAATATGCCCTCCATTGAATTTTCAAAGTGATCCGTTGTCTGGTTCACCAGAAACGTCTAATGTGCCATCCACCGTGAATCAGCCTGTATATGAAGTGATGAAAATCATGTTCTTGGACGACATGACAAAGATATACATGGTCGACATAAACTATTATTCAAGTGTCAAACCCCGAAAGGTGAAGCAATCACAGGCAGAATCACCTGTTGGGCAGACAAGTCTAAAAGCAAACATGGAACGGAAGCTTCTTACTCTACGGGGCGTACACATCAATATCCGAGGCTGAGGTGTATACAGTCTCGTAATGTACAAGAAATAGTAATTCGAGGCCGTAATGAAATGAGCAGATCGATACTTTCAGACACAGGACACTCAGGTATCACAAGCAACTTCATTTATAGGCCTCGAATCAGCTGTGGGCATTTGGTGCCGGCCCAAATTGAGAGGTGGCTTCATGGTAAACATAAGGAGGGCTGGGGAATACACCGGGAAACACAAGAGAAAAGCTTTCTGAAAGATCCCTTTTAGTAGAGAATTGAAGAACAGCTTTGACGAAACAGAGATTGGCTAAGGGTTACTCTCTAGAATTTGTCCAGTGAAAAGACACATGAACAAAATAGATCATATTGCTGGTCATATTTTCAATGATCGTGAGACATCGTATCACAAAAGGCAAACAATTTATGCGCAACTCAAATTATTTATTTCCAGATAAATGTGACATACATCCAGCCAAAGACCTGTACAAACATGATTGTTAGAATGGTTGCTATGATAATTATGAAGCTGCAATGTTCATTAAGATCTTGGAAAAAATGCAGAATGAACATATCAATACTGAAAATAACATTGTCGAAAAAAAAATCAATACCTGTTTTATGGAAACAATGCATTTTCGGATCTATGTTCGACCACAAAATCAGGTGTCACCACGTATACGTACCACATACCTTGATTAGCTGTCTAGGGTTTTCCAGAAAACTTCCATTGTTGCAATAGAAGTGTCTGATGCTTTCAGCAACTACTTTTTCATCCTTCTTTCTCAGATGCATTCCTCTAGGAATCAATAGCAAAGGATTAGCTGCATATGCTTCAGTTGATCCGTCACCTGAGAAAAATACATTAATAGAGTCATCTATCTCATCAGTTATCCAGCAGAGCACATCATGATGGCGAGTGCGATCTTGCCGAAACCCCGTGATAATTTCAAAGACGAAAAACACCCGTGATTACACTTCTGCTTATAACAGAATGACGGAAATTAACTTATGATAGTATTTTTACATATAGTTTTTTATAAGTCAGATAACAAAGAGAAGTTAACGCGTTCCATCTGCGTGAAATGAAATTGAAAGATGAATAGATGAGCACTCCTCCGACTACAGTTCTGATCGTCACCTCAATAATATCTGCTATTGCTGATGAATTGAAAATTGAATTTGTATGTTCGTATTATTGAATACGAAAAATTGGGAAATATCAGTAATTCGAAGTTACATTATTTCATGTACATATTAAACATATTTCAAGATTTCAAAAAAGATCATAGAATCAATAAAGGTCAATACAGTTAGGCTGCTGGAAAATAACTCCATTTAAATGAAAATATAAATAGATGAGTAGGTAGACAGCAGTTTCAGCCTAATGAAAATCATCAGTACCTGGCAGGCGGTCCTCAATTGAAGACTCACTGTGAAAATCTAAGACAAGTACCCAATTGAAATCAGTGTATGTAAGTGAGCGAAACATAAGTGGAACCACCTTTTGGTGTGACACCCAAGATAGCTAACCAAGTTTTATACTGACATTGGTTGTTTGACCAATCTTTCAAATCGACAGCTGTGTAAGTGAAATTTTGAAACATCTGAATATCATTTATCTGTTTATCTTTTTATTTTCGTAGAGTTATTTTCCAGCAGCTCGACTGCATTACTTGTTTTCGACTTCACATAATTGCTAGACACATGTGGATTTGTTTTCCGAAGGCTTTTCTGGATGACTTTCTGAATTTCTGCTAATACAGTTGTCTGTTCTAAATATTGGTCAAACCACCAATGCCGACATAAAACTTTGACATGTTAACTTGGGTGTCTCACCAATAGGTGGTTACACTAATGTTTCACTCGCTTTTTCGCAGTGACTTCCATCAAGAACTTGTTTTGGTTTTTCATAGTTTGTTCCCGTTTGTCTTTCTGACAAACACCAGTTAAAAGGGGAAGGGTGCTAGGCTTCAACCTGAATAAACTCAAGATGGATTACGTCATAATTTGTTGTTTTAGTTAGGGAAGATATGGATTATGCTGTAGACGACCCCTCCCGATATAGAAGCCCCAGACACTCTGTCGAGTGAGGTCCCCATGTCCCCCGTTGAAAGATGAACGATATCTTCATCCAAACACCTCAGCCAGGTAGGGGTCCACGTGAAGGGCGGTACTGATGTCTGGGGACATTTATGCCGTCATCCCATAAATCAGTCTTGACCCGTTTGTCTTCCTGACGAACATCAGTTCAAAGGGTGAAAGACAAGGCTTCAACCTGTCCGAAACCAAGATGGCTATCGGTCATAGTTTGTCCAGCTTCGGAGAAAGAACTAAAGTGGTATATAAGGACCTCCCAAGAAGGCCCGAGAAGTTGATTCAATCAACAATAGGTTGTTGAAGCAGCTTCCCGAGAACTTTATCAGATATCTACCGAATAAACTTAACAGCTCAATCACCCTCAGATACTTCTCTCGAAAATGGAAGCACGCCGTGGTTGTCATGATTCCCAAACAGGGTCAGAACCCGCTGTTGCCGCAGAATCACCGTACGGTTAGTCTGCTCTGTTCAACGGCTCAGTTAGCTGAACGTGTTGTGCTGCAAAGGCCAACCGAAGAAGTTGAAGACCGAAATGTTCTGCCTGACGAATAATTCGGCTACAGGAGGGCACACTTCACCGAGTTGCAAGCCCTGCAAATAGTCGAAAATTCCATCTCCGAGCTAAGTAACAGAGAGACAGTCCGTTTTGTCCTCCTGGACATTTCAAATGCCTTCGACCGGGTCTGGCACAAAGGCCTACTACATAAACTGTTCAATTTCGATTTTCCTCGGACCCTGGTCTAGTGAATTAGGTCCTTTCTGGAAGGCAGAACATTTCAGATTCAAGTTGAAGGAACTCTGTCCCCTGTCAAGGAGTTTCTGGAGTTTCTCGGGGAGCTGTGCTGTCTCCATTACTTTCTAGCCTATATGTGAGCCACGTGCCCCTTTCCAATTACGCTTCTTCTATGGGTTGGGTGTTGGCGGTCGTCTACATGCAACGTGCATTGGACGACCTCGAACGCTGGTACCTACAGTGGAAGATTCGGGTGAACCCAGATAAAACCCAGGCGATAGACTTGGGGAGACATAGCGTTTCTCTCGACACAAGGTTAACGATCTCAGACAGGGAGATCGAATGGCAGCCGCGAGTCAAGTCTTTAAATAGATCGCCATTTTACCTGGGTAAATCACATTGAAAACATCACGAGCAAGGTTCAATCGAGAATAGTCAGACTCAATCTTCTGGCCAACAGACAGAAAAAGCTCAACCTTGGAAATAAGGTTATACTATACAATATGATGTCCAAGCCTGGCATTATGTATGCTTAAGGCGTTTGGGAATAAACCGCCCCATCAAATCTTTCTATTCTTGAGATATTACAAAATAAGATTTTACGGATGCTGGTAAATTCTTCATGGTTCGTGCGGAATGAAGCCGTTCGCAGAGATTTAAAGCTGTTGACTATACAGCAATCCATTCAGATGAGAAATCAGAAGATTTTCGAGGCAGCGGAAACTCATGATAACGTACTAGTCAGGGAAGCTGTAGATTACACTATAAACTACCCCATCCGATTCAGAAGACCCCGTCGCTCAATTGAGTGAAAGCCCAACGATGTTAAAGTGGACAGTTTGTTCATCAAATACCCCATCAGGTAAGGGTACACAAGGCCAGAGAAGCATAGAGGTCACTGACCTTCATGTCACGACCAAACAACTTGATTCCTCCTGACGAACCTCAGTTGGAAGGGTGAGCAAATATTCTCCAACCCTATTGAAATGAAGATGACTTTGCTGCATAGTTTGTCTTCAATCGAGGACCGCCTGCTCCGTACCAATGCATATATGATGTTTATATGACGCTGTCACATTGGGTCAATGAAAAGACCTAACTTACACAACCAATCGCAAAACCTTTCAAGTATGTTACCGAAATTACATAATATGAAATTTAGTTTTTGAATCATTATACTTTAATTGAAGTTTCACTTTATTAAAGTTTAAGGGTATACGGCAAGGAGTTTTCACATCTTTGCTTTTTATCGAAGCCACAATGATTCAAACTTAGTAGCATATCGTTTCTCCCCATGTTGGACCCATGCGCTGAGAAATTTGGAGTTTTGATAAAATATTAAAGGTCTGGTCTTCACGTGCTCTCAGTTTATCACATGATGAACTATTCATATTGATTATTATTGTCGTGAATACGGATTTACTTTATTTTTACATGGGACCGATAGAGATAGAGGAATATAAGATGAGTTTTCATTATTCACGGAGATATTTGGATTTGATTATTGCCGGTCTTCAACATTTTGTATCATATTCCGAAGACGATAAATTTGACTTCTCTCATAATTCTCAATCTGTTTGTTTCAGCTCTGAGCAGACTACTGCTTTATATTTGATAAATATACATTTCCTGTCCTAAGTTCTGATTTGCCACTTACTCTTTCGTGAGTACAAAAGTGTTGAAGTTACTCACTCCTTTATTAGGTAAATTTAGTTTTGCTCCGACTATGTTCTTTTAAAAGATAAACTCTCAAAATACATGATGCGACTGAAGTATGGATTGTTAGAGTTGTTCACAAAATGAATTTGTCAGTTACAGAAAAGGTATATCTCTTGAAAAAACTCACTATCAGTATAAAACAATGACTCTTCAGTGTTAACACCAGATAGGAGAGGAACATTATTTACTTCACCACTTTTCCATATTTCATACATGGGTTTCGTAATGAATGCATCTTCATGTTCATTTTCCACAACAGGTGCGAAATAAAATCCTTGAACGATCTGTAAATCAGCCGGGTTCTCCTGCAAAAAAAGTGAAAATATCCCGTTACGATAAGTCAGATTATAATAGATTCTGTAACTAGACGTTGAACTATTGTCGAATCCACAAGTAAATATCATTCGTTGAGATAAAATCCAGGTTCAATTGATTTGAATAGTTAGAATTTCAAAAAATCAATCAATGACTGTCAGAAAAAATCAAAATCAAATGCATGAGTAGTTAGGAGTGATAAATAAATTATATGAAGCTGTTATAACAGTAGATTGTTGATCAGTCGTACATATTCTAGCATAGATGCTAATTTCATTTGATGTTTACATCAAAATATCAATAAATTATCTCACGATAAAAGAGTTTTTCCATCAGTTCGGACTTTCATAGATTATTATTATGATATAAAAATAACAATTATATTGAGCAAAAAATCCCTGAACTGAAATTACAGTGAAATAAAATACAACCAACAATTGAAAAATGAAAATTAAAAAAAATATTTCAAGCTTAGTTACTTCACGACGTTTCGATTGTTAGTATCCACAATCGTCTCTGGGTGGTGACCTTTCCTATCTCCGCTTCACCGATTTAGCGGGAGCTGACCGTTGGGCGGGAGTTGGCCGTTTTTCGCTTGATTATGGGTTTCTATATTTATGTTGCGAATCTCTACGTTAGCTTGGCTGCATGCGTTGTTGGACAACATATATGCGGCTTATTTGAATTTTCTTCTAAACCATTGTTCCTCTCTGTGATGATCTCAGGTTGGAACCACTTAATGTTATGTTGTACACATGCTCTGCTCTCTCTCTCTCTAGATTTATTGGATGTTGCTTCCTCTCGGCGCATTTATCCATTCTCCTTCTATTAGAATCGACAGGAGCTTGGCCGTGGGGGCGCAGAGGTGTTGCTCGAAGCAGTGCTGTCACCCGTTTTTCATTTTTTTCATATAAACACTTGATTTTTTTTGTTGAGTCGCCTCTTGTTCGAGAGACTTTTTACACATATGATTGATACAATCCAATCCCCACGTGGACATCTAGTCCACCCCAGCCTCCAACCGGCGTGAATGAGAGTTCTGTTTCTCTTTAACACTATACGACTTTTCACAAAAAATGTTTAATTTATTGGTGGTACGTTCTATGACGGCGGACAATTACAACACAAAACTAAAATTCATCTACAACAATGGCGTTCGTGTACCTTCTTTGTGGACGATCGTTGTCGGCACATCCATCCACAACCATATCAGAAACGAAACTGAAGAAAAGCAGATTGAATTTGCCATAAAATAGAGATATTAGTATATTGGCGCGGGTAGATTAACATAGGGTAAATATCAATTTATTTATCTTTGATCTGTTATTATAATCGGTTATAAAGGTACAGGTCTGTTTTAACACTGACAGTTTTGAAATTTCTGTTATGAAAACTCTAAAATTGGAAATACCTCTTTCAATTATATAATAAATATTGATATTTTTGTATAATACCGACCCTAGATGAACATAAAAGAGAAATAATACACTTTCTATACATTAATTTCATCCGTAGGAAGTTATAATGTAGTCGACGTCACAATATCAGGTACCTACATTTCTAGGAATAGGTTTAACAGTGAATAAAAAAATCATATAAGGTAAAAACAAGAGATTTCTTAAAGGACTGAAACAAGGGAAATATCATTATAAATCGTTGAAATTTGAGCAATATGGAAAGTGAAAGCAGTCAAAGCAAACGCAGACGTCCGAATTTATCTGAAGAGAAAAAACTAGCAGGTGAACATTAAATTCACGAAGAATTGGAAAAAGTGCTCTTATAGAAAAAGAGAAGAAATTATTTTGTGGTGAAGAAATCACTTAGAAAAAATCCAAGAGTGTCCTCTTAAGGGTAGAAACATTAATTATTCAGATGAAACTTGGTGGAATCGAGACTTTTATTGAAGGCCTCTCAACAGGATCAAAAGCATCAGCTGGAAAAGGACTTAGGCTTATAATAACTCATATAGGCAACAATTTGGGTCTTTTTGAAAGATGGCTTGTTACTCATCGAATTGGTTTATGAAGATTTTACCAAACCTTGAACCAAACTCTGTCGTCGTCATGGACAATACCTTCTGCCACAGCAGACCATTGGAGCAGTCACCAACAACTGCCTAACGAAAAGCTGATATCATCAACTGGCTGTCTCAAAGAAATTCACCATTCGACGATGATACATCAAAAGTCCAACTACTCAATATTCCAAGCAAACATATACCCCAGTTGAAAAAATATTTTGTCGACGAAATGGCTGATGAGAGTATAACTGTATACCGCCTCTCTCCTCATCATTGTTAGCTTAATCTGATCGAACTGATATGGGCCCGAATAAAAAAGTGAGTGTGGAGGGAAAACTCGACTTTCAAAATTGATGAGGTTAAAGGACTACTAGCTACTGCGATACAAAATGTCACACCCGAGTCATAGAAAAAATGCTTCAGACATACGATACAAGAAGGAGATAAAAAGTAGATAATCGACAATAGAATTGACATCGCGATTGAACCATTAATTACCACCTTGAATAATTGCGATTGCAATAGTTACTAATCATCCAACGAGTTTTTTTCAGACGGTAATGAATAATACAATACTGTAAGTAATTTTTAACTTTTTGCGGTGATTGTGATTCAAGTTATTTTTTTTTTGCGAACATTTGCAGAATTTCACAAAAAATCAGGATAATTCACTTCAATCCCACATAAAATAGGTGCAAACTTTTGCTAATCACAAAAATCATACGGTTAATATAAATGTAAAAATTGGAATTTTGATTTGAAAATTTGAATTCATGCATTATTTAAGATTATAAATATCATTCACCATTTTACAAAACTTTTTGTAAAATAATTATGGTGTCTACTTTTCTCATGAAATATTTTCACGTATTATTACTTTACTAACTCCATGTACATCCGATCTTGGACTTTTTATTTCAGTCCCATTTCCAAAAGATGCAAATTATTCAATTATAATGACTTTTTGTCATAAAATCAATAATAAAGATTTTTTCTCCTACTAGCAACTATATCCGTGGACATACTGTATATTTTCTTATATAATTCATATAATTTGATTATCATTTGTGAATATAGTTTTGAAATGATAGCAATACACTCGAAATTAATTTTTCCTCATCTGCCTAGTTTCCGTACGCCACTGCAAGAGACAGGCATACGGCTATAAATAACAACGTTCTTGTTAAAATTTTGTTGAGAAGTGAAAATTCGTGAATGAAATTTTTGAAGTCTTGTGAGGACTCATGATGATAAATAAACTGTGTTTCTAAATTTGAAAATCAGTAAAAATTTCATTTCTTCAATGGATATCTGAAGTGTTGACATTGAACAAAGTATATCAGGAATTAAAAAGAAAACAATTTTCTACTTTTGATTCTAATACAGAATTCTGTGATAATGAGAAAGTGATAATGAACGACAAAACTTTTTTAACACCTATTAATCCTGTTGAGGAAACACACTGTTTTTTCAGAGACTAATTAGCCGACTATCATAATAAAAATCTGAATACTTACCAATTTGTACAACCTGTGTGAAGCTCTATCTATCACTTCGGCTGGAACATTTTTCAAATACTGGTAAACTTCCATTGAGGAGGCATTATGAATGTCAAATTCTGGTTCGACGAAAGAAGCTAAGCGATATGAAATATTCTTTTGATTATCTTGATAAGCCCATGCACTCAAAGCTGACCCACTTTGACAAATAGCTGCTTTGAAGAGGCCTAAAAAATATTATGATTTTGTTTCAATTTCAGCATAGTATAATTCGAAAGTAAGGGATATGACTCTCTTGAAGAAAGAAGTGAATTGGAACTCAATGGGTGAACGAACAATGAAAAAAAAATCGCCAGTTTTCTGTTTCGTTTTAAGTATCTCGTTAAATGAAAGAGCGAATTCAGGCTCATCCATCTCACTTGTGACTAGGTTCGAATATGAATTCTACCTAACAAGGCTGACATGCGGGATTTTTTTTATACATTCATTCACTCACCCTACCGAAAAATAGTATATTATATACCTAGGGTGAGAAGTGAGCTATTATTTACCGGCGCGTAGCGCCGAGGGATATAATGTGCCGAGGTATATATAGAATTTTTTCACTACTGACATAACATAATTTTGGCATTAGTAATTTTCTAACAATTTGTTGAATATATCGGAATATCAAGTAGAGTGGAGCGTGTTTCTAATCATACTGGCTTTATTTATCTAAAAATTTGGCATGTGTCAAATTTTGATTTGAATCTAGGAAATATCTCATTGCATTTTTGATATATTTCAATGTTCCACTTCTCTCATCCCTTCTGTATGTTCAGAACTTGGAATTTCTCAATTCTGCATTATAGTGAGAACAAAATTTCCTTGGTTATATGATAACCCAAGGCAGCTATGAATTGTTGCATGTCAAATTTAAACGGCACAGTTTCCATGTTGAATACGCGATGTCGATGATAAGCGCGCAACATCTACTTAGGCCATAAAAACGTTTGCCGGCGTTTCCATGACAACCAAACACTGTACAATGATTATTATTGCTGTCAGTTTGCTAAATGCGGTTTTAATTCAAATTTAGATGTTATTTTGCTTATATAGATAAGTAAAACGTCAATATAATTAATTGAGAAATGGGTGAAAATTCAAACGACGATGATTTAGAGAGGATGTGTACCCCGCCTGAAGTTAGAGTGGTGGCAGCTAGTACAAGTAGTGATTTATTGCCAGAAAAATCAAAGAGACTGTACATGAATGCATATATTGGTTATTGAAACGCACCATACTCAGCCAAGTGTTTGTCCAAAATATCGAATAATGTTCTATCCGGCTGTTGTCTTTCCGGACATAATTCAAAATAAATTTGGACTATTTTCGTACTATTCCTATCAGATTTATAATAAATTTTCAACACATCTCGTTTTTCATCATTTGAGAATGAGTATATTTCGACTGAAGTATTTGTGCAAACTTATGACATTTGATAAGTTCTGACAACTAGTGTTAATTAAACAAAAATTGCCCTCGAGATCCTTCGACTTTGTTCGATAAAATCTTTCGTTTGTTCAATTTTTCAATATGGCCGCTGTGACAACCAACCCGTGAGACAACCATACCCGGTCTCAACTGAAGTCACAGCTATGAAGTCCGTGAATTTAAAATTCTGATACCGGCAAGTGCGGTGCAGACATGTACGGGAATCGTCGAGCATGTCAGCTTGAAATTGGGTTGAAGCTGGATTTGTTCATCTGAGCATGATGCTCCGACGTGTATGAGGCACTTATAAATATGAAACCTTAGACAATGTAGAATATAAAAATCGAATAATTAATTTTTCCAAATGGAATATCAAAACATCCACTATCTCAGTGAGAAAGTTCAAAATGGTTCGAACTTGAATGTACTACTCTACTTTAAATGAAACTGCTTGATGTGAAATTGTTGATGTTCATCAGTAGATAAATCAGTTAGAGCTACAGAACTGATCGTAGCATGGCCACACAATGAGAACAATATTTCGAAAGAAGTACCTATATTTCTACAGTTCCTTATTTTAGAAACCAAAAATGTTCATAGATTGTCATTGCTGCATATTTTGCTTTCTGAGACAACATTTACAATACTTCTTGAACGAAATTAAAATGTCTTTTAGACCAGTTTTTAATAACAATTGATTTGAAGGACGGAATTTTGAAAAAAAATTGAGTGTTTCTACAAATGTTTTCATCGAAAAAATCAATGGATTTTTTCTGTAATTTTTAAAAACAAAGAGTTTGCTTGGAAAGGAATATCAATGTGTTTCACTCCCCAACGTGATCAAAAAACTTGATATTAAAATATGTATCAAAAATAATAATCAGAATGAAGATCTTCGAAAATTAATCAGTATCGTCCATTGAAATCAAAAATCACAAATATTGTATTTCAGCATACGAGTATTTATCAAATATTTGTACTTCCTGCAATAATTTCTTTCTTTATGTAACGATTTCATTAGGAAGAAATTTGATTATACATCTTCTTTCAAAGAAGGCCATGACTTGCCCTTATGAAATATTGCAGTATCATCTGCAAAACTAATTATTCTTCCTTTGTTCTGGATGGAAAATATGCTGTTCATGTATATTGAGAAACGTATCGGCCACAGCACTGTATCCTGAGGCACACCATATTCAATTTTGGAATCACTATGTGTTTTATTTATTTTGACACTTTGTGTTCGATTCTCAAGGTAGTTTTTGAATAACAGTAGACAATTGTCTTTTATCCCAATTTTTTCCAGTATAGATATTAAAATGGTGTGGCTCACGGTATCAAAAGCCTTGGCAAAGTCTACGAAAACGACAAGAAGTGGTCTACATAATAGTATAATTATTAGGGACCGGGATGATTTTCAAAAATAAATTCTGATACGTTTCAACACTATTGGTATATGTGAATGACTCAGATCTAGTTGAACTTCGCAATATTGAAAACTTTTGGAATTCCCTAAATGAAAACAAACGGTTTTTTCTTGAATGTGCGGGCTGGTATTTCTGGAAATTCCCGTCAGTACTGTTTCTCTTACTGAAAATTCAATAGATGAATTTACTACCAACTTCTTGCAATATTCTGCTAGATGATCCCATGACATGTAATGCAGGGAATAAAATAATTCATTGAATAGAAATAGCCGATACTGTGGGAGTGTATAAATAATCATGTTGGTCATGTCTGATGTTTTACATAGGTCAATCTAGGAGAATGCTAAAACCCGCATAAGTGAACACAAAAATAGTTTCCAGAATGGAGAAAAACTTCATATATGCCACTCATTTAATCACAATGGAACATGAGTTCAATCGTGGATTCAAGCCCCTACATTTCCAGAAGAAAGGTTTGAAACTTAACCTGTTAACCATTAATAAATCTGTTCATTTCCAGGTAACAAAAGTTGAATATAATTACGGTATTTTCAGAAATTCAATTTATTCATATAGTTATTGAATTTATACCTGACCTTTCCAGGTTGATTCATTCATTAGAAAGTAGGCAAACAAGTAGGTGATATGTTGGAAAATTAGAGTATAAAATAGTTGTAATTTAAAAGTAATTTATTATCATAACTCGTGAAAGCTATTGTATAGCGAAACACGTGTCGCGGTTTTTATAAAACCCTTTATAGTGAAAATCATACAATGAACTGTAATAATGACTCTTAATAAAGGTACTTGATTTCTTCATACAAGACAACCGAAAATGGGTAGGGTGATATAATTCATCTCCTGATGATGCTAAATAGGTTAGCGAAACGCCCGTCGAGAGACAACATTTTTGTTCTCGTAAGGAAAATGTGTTTTCAATAGGTAATAAGATACGAGTATGTTTGTTGATCTGAAAATGTGAATTGAAATGTATTACCTTTCGATTTAGGGCTCAGAATATGATAGGTAACGGAAGCAGCTCCAGCACTCTGACCAAATATTGTTATTTTGTTGGGATCGCCTCCAAAGTATTTAATATACTGATTTGTCCATTTCAAAGCTAAGAGTTGATCTTTCAGTCCATTATTTCCCGGGATCACGTCATCTCCAGTTGAGAAGAAACCTGTTACGGTAAAAAAAATATAGTACCAATCATTTGAAAGGAATAAATTATTGTTGTATAAGTAACAATTGAGATCGCACTGCCTAATCGTAGACCATAAGCTTCCATACGTTCTGCGAAAAAGCTATACAATATATATCTTTTTCGCAGACATTCAGAATATTTGAATGATATATTATATCTTTCGAATATTCCGAATGTCTGTGACATTCAATACATTTTTAAAATAATATAAGGATTCACATACAAATTGTCACGTACGAGAACAATATATTATTGCCCATTTCTCATATCCCAATTTTGTGAAAGATATCCAAATAAGATTTGAGAGTGAAACAGTCAAAAAGTGTGGGATGATTTGAAGAAAAGAGAAAAAACGCTTCCCGAAATCATGTAGGTATGTGTATAGGGAAGTGAAAGTGTTAGATATAAATAGAGAGTTTCAGAGTTGGAAATTAGTTTTCACCATTCATTCAAGACCTCAACTTGGTTGGTGAAAGCCGCGTCGAAAAAAATATTGCATTTCTGGTGATTGGGAAAATTGTTTGATTTTGGTTTCATTCTACGACCAAATTCCAAACAAACCACTTTCAACACTGTAAATAATAACTCCTATTGGAGCACAGCAGAATCTGAGTCGTATAAAAAGTAAATGTGCTGGATCAGATGGTATACAGGGGGCGCAAAAGTCCGGAATGAAATTAATATCTTTTCAACCAGTATTTTAGGAAAAAAACGCTGAAACTGACGTGTTTCAGCATTGGTTTCACGTTGTACGCATTTTTTGGCAATAAAATGAAATATTTTTTTTCAACACCTTAGCTGCAACTTTTTTTTTTGGAACGCAAACCTATGTCGTGTATGGGCTCATTGAAAAGCTCGTAAAAAATGGAATCTGACCATACCCTTTAGTTCTTTTTCACTCATGCGGTTACCACGAAATGAGAAAAAACTCTTTTAAAACCAAAAAAGTTAGAAATAGTTACTTAGTGCTATCTACGGGTGAATTAACGTTGCAAAAAGCAAATAAGTGGTGATGATGTACATTGCTCAACAATTGCTAAGGATCACCAGTACCTACTTTCTAAAAGTTTACAAATTTTAAGAACATACCAACCGGGCCACGCACCACAACAAATTTCATTGATTTATGTGTAAATCTGATAACGTAATGTAGCATCAACATTCTGTGGATTTTATTTTTTTCACCAAAAACTTACACATAAAATTAGTTCCATCCCAATTTCTGGGTGAAATTAAAATTGTATGTATGTTCAGTTTATTGATTGGGTACCTTCAAAGTGTTCTTTTTTAATTTGCTTAACAAAAATGGTATTGTCAGAGAGGTAGCGTATCGAAGTCTTGATATTTTTGGGATGTGGGGATAGAATGCGGAGTCAAAGTGAGGTGTGGTGTGTACTTTATTTAATGTGTACTGTGTGTAAGATCGTACACAAATTTGAAGAACATGGTACAGTCAAGGAATTACTCAGAAGTGACCGGCCACATGTTTTAGACGGAGATCAAAAATTGGACATTGCCGTATCTCTGCAGGAAGATCCACATTTGTGAACGGTTTCATTAGCTCAAAACAATCCTGCGTCTTGACGTACGATTGGGAGGTTTTTGAAAACAGAAAAATACCACCCATATAAGGTATGTCTTGTCCAAGAGCTCTTGGAATGAGGCGATGTGACGAGAATAATGAGTTTCCACTCAACATACTCTTTTCGGACGAAGCTACTTTTTATTTACATGGTGTAGTTAACAGGCACAACTATCGATTCTGGAGTCAGGAAAACCCACACTGGATATGCGAAGCTCGTACGCAGCGTCCTCAGAAAGTAAATGTATGGGCAGGCATCATCAACAACATAATATTAGAGCCATACTTTTTTGAGAGAAACCCTACAACTGCACGCTACTAAGACTTTTTACGCTTTGAATTAGTAGCTGTTATGTTTCCCAATGAAGCAGACCCAGATATCCTTACTAAAACACTTTGGTTCCAACAGGACGGCGCTCCCCCACATTTTGGTATTGATGTCAGAGAATATCTCGATGACATATTTGCAGGACGCTGGATTGGACGACGTGATACAATTGAGTGGCCCCCAAGATTCCCAGACTTAACGCCATTAGATTATTTCAATTTGGAATATATGAAAGACAAGGTAGATAGCACTAAGTTGGTATTTGTTACTTTTCAAAAGAGTTTTTTCTCATTTCGTTGTAACCACAAAAAAAATTGAGGGTTTGGTCAGAATCCGTTTTTTACGAGCTTTTCAATGAACCCATACACGACATATCTTTGCATTTGAAAAAAAAGTTGGGGAGGGTTGCAGCTAAGGGGTTGAAAAAAAATTTATTTTATTGCCAAAAAATGCGTACATCGTGAAATCAACTGACGTGTTTCAGCGTTTTCTCCTAAAATACTGGTTAAAAAGATATTAATTTTATTCCGGACTTTTGCGCACCCCTGTATATCTAATTACGTTAAGGCATGTGATTCTACCTTATCTATCTCATCTCAAATATTTTCAATACGACAATTGAAACAAACACCTTTCCCACTTTGTGGTAAGAGGCGATATTTTAACCAATAACGAAATGTGGCATCGCATCAGAGTTGTCACACCCGAGGCCTGTTTTTCCAAAGTATTCGAGTTGATTCTTGCAGATCTCGAAGATGATTTGTGTATAGTAATAGCATTGTCACTACTCTTCAGCACTACATCATCACACAGCACTGCAAATGCTTTTTTTAACATAACACGATATTTATATGATGCAATTAATAAACACGAGTTGACTCTGATGGTGGTTTCTGATTATACTAATTTGATGTAATGAACCATACACTTTCCTGTGGAAAGATTTCATTCTTTGGATGTTCAAATGTTTCACCAATTGATTTTGGAGTGCATCAAGGATCTATACTTGAACCGCTTCTGTTCTCGCTATGTATTCCAGATTTCTATGAAATAATTTGAAACTGAACACATATCATTTATGATATGTTCGAAACGCAAAACAGCTATAATTCAAGTTTTGATTAATGTACGAAGAGAATGGAAATCAAAGATTGTGGTTAGATTTCGACCTGATTTCATAAACATGTTAGAGCTTCTATATCTTATGACAACTGTTTGGGAAGAGTGACTTAATAACATTTGACTCAAATTGCAACTTTGCAAAGTACTTGAGCCTCTCAGTCTCTTCTCTCTCCTGTTTATCCTTCGTAGTTTGTACCACTCGTTCCTGCTCATTCATCTACATTTCATTTTTAGTGTATTCATGATGTATTCAATATCAGATTTCACGAAATAATTTGTAGGCAGTGATCAGAATAGGATCCCAGTAAATTCAAGTTGTACCTGACTTTCTGATTACCGTTCTGATTACAGTTCGATGACCTAGTCATTTTTTTCACTATAACTGTTTGGTGTACTGGTGACATGCTTACTCGAAATGATGAACGAAGAAATAGCTTTTTTTCAATTCAATATCGACAAATTTTTCCAGTTAAACGGATGATTTGAAGTAAAATAGCTCACCAAAAGGTCCAACTCTATAGTTGAATGTCACGATGATGACACCGTAATCCATGAAATGATCTGGTCCATAATTGATCTCTACAGATGCTCCTTCAATAAATCCACCTCCGTAAATAAAGAACATTACCGGAAGGCTGCCGTTCAAAGAAGGCTTCTGAAAGTTTTGAAAATGCGATAAAAATTCCCAAAATGCATTTGATTTCATCATGTGTGTTACTACAAAATTAATTATAACCATTATGGAGGATAGGAGAAGGTGAGGTATAATGGATCCCCTCAAGGGAAAAACGTAACTGTGGCTAAAGTTGAAGGCAAAATCGTAAGAATTCTATTGTTGGAGGTAGTGAATTTACTCAACTTTGTAACTGCATACTTATTCTTTACTATATGTATGTAGTTTTCTTGTATTTGAAGTTTTTGTTAAAGTTTAGTAAAGGGTCATTTTATACACACCTATGTATAAAATGATCGTGTATTGTTCATAACAATTTAAGTAAGTTACACAAAACTTTTGCAGTCTTCCAGTGTCATGAGAGAACTTTTTTTTGTAATTATCTACTACTCAATCAACAAAACTGAACAATAAAACATTGCAACAAACATTTGAAAGGTTTGCAAAATTAACAACATACCTAGTCAAGCAATTGGTAATCAAATAAACTCTTCTTCTAAATAAAAAAAAAACAAAAATAATACTCATTCCTATCAAAGGTTCTTATCAATGTCTTAATGCAACAGAACAATCAACTCTTCGTTCAAAAAATAATAATGTTCTTATCAGGAAAGAAATGAAAAAAGGCCTATAGCCTTAATTTTTTTTCACACTTTCAAATTGATTACTAGAGAGACAAATATCGCTAGTGAAGTCGCCTTCATTGTCACTATCTACTCCCGCACAAGACTCATGTCCCTATTTAAGACACACAACGCACCTAATCCACCCTTTGGAATAGCTTTTAGTACAGAAGAAGCATTTGGTATCACTCTTCTCTTCAGAAGAATCTGATCTGTTTTGCTTTTTTTGCCTTTTTTCTTTCCTTTTTCTTTTCCTTTCCCGCCTCTTTTTCCTTTATCGTTCTATTTGTTGGTCACCGTAGTTTTTATTTTATTCCCTTCCTTGAAGGCTTTTTTTCTTCTATATTTGTTTTCTTTTTGGCTTCCTCTTCAAGGTATTTTTTGTAGGGTGTGCTAGTCAATACTGATGTGTCTACTCTCATTCGTCTTGCACTCTATCTTTTTCCAACTATCTTTGGTGTTGATCGTACTTCTAGGGGTGTAATAACACCAAAAGATGTGGATGGAAGACCAGCAGCCAAAGCTGGAGGTTAATCTTCCGGAAAGTTCAGACGTTGAGATTTTTTTTTGGAAAGACGGTGCTTGTCGCGATGACTGTGGAGCTTGTGGAGATGTTTGAGTCACCATTGGAGTCGAAATTTGAAGTGGAGATAGCTGATGTGTTAAATGAAGGGATTCTTGGACATCCATTTGCACGGTTTCTGCATATGGAGGATTGGACGTCTCAAGGATCGGACTGGGAGGTTCTACCGTGTCATTGTCAACATCCATTTCAGTCGTTTCAGCTGCAATGAAGTCCACATTAGTGAAAATGTCAGGGTTGAACGGATATATTCCTGTTTTGTTGAATCCATTCATACTATTCAGTGGAACTGCGGCTTTTAGATAGGCTTCTGTAAAAATTTTCGTTATTTGGAACACGGTCACTAGTCTCCCAGGATTGTTATTCATCCACCATCGAATCACCTAATTGGGAAATGTTTGATGTTGATTTCTCTAATATACCTACTCGTATTTGACGATATTTGAACAAAATCAATTGAAGTATTTTGGTATTTTCCAATGCATAATACAACTTCTAAAACAATTCTGCACGACAATATACGGAGTAGTAGAAAGGCGAGTAGATCCAAAGTGAAATTATTCGTCCCTTAATTGCAACTCGTGAGGATTTATTAAGGCTCTCACCTATACAAAGTTGGCCAAATGAATTCAATTTTTCAACAAAACCGATGAGTTTATGTGGTCTTGTCTTTTTCTATCAAATTAGGTATATCAAACTGTCTTTAGGTTTCCATTGAAACGAATGATCGCGGGATATTCTACATGGATGAAAACTGGTTCAATTCGTTGAATGCTATCCTTGATTTTTCAATTACGAATTTCAAGTATAGCATAATCAACCAACAGTATCATTCGTACTGGCTGTTTGCTGAAAGAACGTGAGATATAATCGGATGTTCCCTTCACTTAGATTCTGCACTGTGGGCAATGGAAAAGTAATGTTTCATTAGGGCAAGCGCACATTACAGACTTTTTATCGGCCGATAGTTTAGTTGAATGATCACTATAAATAGTAATCACTTGTGATTTATATTTATAATTCAAATTTGTTTGGAGATAAACCTGCAGTTATACAACATTGAGCATTTTTGAATTATTTCGAAAATTGAATATGAAATCGAATAATATCATTCAGATTTACCTGTGGAGTGAATATATTGATGAATAAACAATCTTCGTTACCATCAGGTGTGGCTGATGTCATCTGATAGCAATAACTTCTCTCTTGTGTTGCATCCCAGATTCCTTCCCATGGTAATTTTGGCCTAGGTGCCTGGAAATATAAAGTAAATATAACTCTTTTAATTCCACGAAGCAAACAAATATTATTGTTATTCAAATTGAAGTCGATGTTCAAATTTCAGACCATAAAACAATCTGATTTTTTTGAGGTTATACCAGAAAGTTCAATTCTTGTCTATAATGAAACAGAGTATTCTTTGGAAATATTTTTGAGTATTTATGTATTTGTTTTTCGATTTTCTCTTTCTATATCCTATTCTCAAAAAACTAAATATTCATAAAGTGTAAATTCTCGAAGATGTTATCAAACAACGTGTGGTGGAAAAATAACGAGATATTTTGATTATCGTTCGCTTATAGATTCGGTTGATTATTCCATACGTCTGAAAAACGATTATTATATTATTCGATTGCAATGTTCAAGTTATTATACCTTGTTGAAGTCGTGAGGTTTTTGATAAAATGATATGTCAATAACACCAGTTTCAATTCAACCTATCGAATATGTTATATTATATTTCAATGCTAGAAATTTCAATGTTGATTTACTACTTTCAAATTTATCAAGAATAAAAACTTTCAGATACTACATTTGCATATGTGGCTATATTAATCCTTTTGGGTGATCCCCGCTATCAAGAATGTGTCAATAGTTGAAGTTTCATTCAGCAGAAAATGCCTGTGTCATATTGGCCATAGTAGAAAACAGTTATTTCAAAGCAATGAGAATCAGTTACATCATCATCAAATTCTTCACATGATATTTTCAACATTGACATGAACGACTATATTTTTCTTTGATGAACATTTTCACCTTCATATATTTGTGTATTTTTCTTGATAATATATCGGAATTGAGAATGTTCAGTGTTAAAATGTTCAAAAATGGAGATTTCATCATTTCAGATTTTTTTCTTTCTCACGAGCTCATAATAGATGAGATATATTCATGGTGTTATGTGTTCAATTGAACATTCAGTTTGGACTAACAATTGGTTCATGGAAAATCTGTCTATTTTCTGAAAGTAGCCATTTTTGAGTTCCCTTTTCAAAGATTTTTCCCGTGAGTGGTTCTGAGTGGATCTCGCATTACATTATATACTCTTGGCCCACTGCTTTATTTGCCCTAGGTATAAGAGGAGCAGCTGATATGAAACTGAATCATCCCTGCAAGGATAATTCAGTCTCATGTATTGTTTTCGTTGAAGAGTGAAAAGTGTGCTCGATTTAGAGAATAATTACTTGAAGTCAAGATTTTGTAACTCGTGGTATAATGCATCAGAAGAAGAACGAGAAGGTTCATTATTTTCAGGATTTGTTTTTGTACATTTTTAAGAGTTCAGACAATTGTTTTGTTTGTTTCACCCCACTCATTTATTCCATATTGCACAAGAGATTCTACAAATGCATAATAGGGCATTCTGAGCTGTTTAACTGAAATATTGATACAAAATTCATAAAACTTGAAGATTAGTCCCTAAAGTTTATTTTTCAGCTTATCGATGTGTATATCCTATCTCAACATAGAGTCTATTGAACCAATTCATTATCTGTTTCAAATTCCTTTCTAATACATCTTTGACGTCCATCCAATTTTTCTCCTTATAGATGACAACTGTATCATCAGCGAACGATATTATAATACCGACAGCATTTATAGCAAGGAGTTGATTTAGATAGATACTAAAAAGTATGCCTTCATCACTATTTGAAGTATAATATAGTCAGAGATAATTAAATTGAATCGCGATTTAAATAATCTCACATTAAAATTTTATTTCAGTTCAAAACTAATTAAACTATATTCTATCTTCCAAAGAGGAAGATTGAACACTGTATCGAATTCTCAGAAATAGCTGTTCTAGAAGATCATGATGGGCAAAATAACGTAATCGGCGCACTAGATCATAATAGTTTGTGTCCAAGATGAAGAGCCAGCATGGAAAAATCGGAAATCGTGAGAGATACAACATCGGTTGAATCAGGGAAAATTTGCCCATTCTTAAAATAATTTAAATAATGTTTTGAATTCAAGAAATCTAATTGGTTTCGAAGGAAACCGAAAACCATCAATTGCGTTTTCTTCCATTTTTTGACGTTATTTGAGAGAAATTGAAATACTGAAAACACTTTCTCATTGCCACTACTCAAACTTCAAAAGATACCATTTACAGATTGATAATCCAAAGTTTTGTCTTCGAGAAACCACCACCAATTTCAATTTTGAATACGGACTGGAAAAAATAATCACTCGGTATAATATGGCCTGCCTCCTTGGTGAAAATCACGCAAACAATATTGAAATGAGCTCTAAAACTGGAAACTTTTTGATCTCATAAGGTTTTCTATCAAATTTCCCATACTAGCTTCCCTTATTATGATCATATTGTATGCGAAAAATTCAATTTATTCAACATTGATGATGAATATTTGACAATATATTGCATATTTAGCATTAATTGTTCTCATGAAATATTCTTTTTATCATAGAATAGAGAGCTGAATGTATTTCAAAATGATTTGAAGCATACAGTAAAAAAAATTAGAATTGAAAAAATCATTTTTGCCTCACCTGAAATCGGAGTTCGTTTATTGGTGGTTCGGCGAAAGGTACTCCTTGGAAATAATATAAATTTGTCCCAGTGATTGTTTTTCTGGTACCACCTCTAATCTGTCCAATAGGAAGTTGTACTAAAATATCTTCAGCAGCATTCTGAAAAAGTTGTTGCAATTTTCTTCTGTCAAATATTTTGAATACTCACCGCGTTATGCTCGATGTTAATTATGAAAAATATAATGAAAATATTGTACAACATTCTTCTTGAATTTATAGCCAATATAATGTTGAAATTACGTGTCTACTCTCGATTGGCACGACTTGACAATATTCATCACTTGAACGTATTGATAATTGTAAATTTTATCATGAAATATATTTTTTGATTTACCATAATTTTATCAAATTTCACCTCACGAAGTAAACAAAGTACTCACTGTATCCACTCAAGTTATCTCAGAAATTATACAGGGCTACCCTTTGATATCAGTTATAAAATTTTTGCCTCATTATATTTGTCGAATGTTCGACTGACTCCTATTTGTTATGAATGAAACCTTCGATATTTCAAGTAAATTACGTTTGATTAGGAGGGTTGAAAACGTACTGGTGTTCTTGTAATNTGTACGGCACAAAACAGAATATACTAAATAAGTACTCATTGAATAATTGAAACTCCTAATTTAAAGGCAATTATATTGAAATCAGTGATGTAGGTTATATTTTGAAAAATATTGTTATCTCAACAATATTCATAATATATCTTATTGATTTTTTCATACATTTCCTTAAAAAAATTCAGATAGCAAATACCTATCATTTTCTCCACATTTTTCCACCCCAAATACATATTTAATATATTGTATTACGGATTTGATGATTCAATGTTTTTCCGATATCCAGAAGTTTATTTAATGATAGATATTGGTTTTGGATGATTTATAACGATCATCGTTTTCTAGTACCTTTTCGGAAAAGATAAATTTTGGAAAGAACCATCATTCCTACAAATTGTCATCAGTTGTCGTGTCTATTCCAAAAGGCGGCACCGAAAACTAAACAAATAGAACTTTATGCATTGAACATATATATTGGGAAAAAAAAGAAAAACAGGTTGACTTTTACTTCAAAGATGACATTTTTCTATGATACACTCAACTGATGACAATGATCCTTGGAATTAGTATAGGGTAGGTACTAAGTGTGATGTTTCATTAGAGGGGTGATTTTATAAAGGATTCATCCATGTGACTGTTCACTATGTAACTTTTCTTTTTGGCACCCTCTAGCGAAAAAACAATATTATCCAGTTACTTGAGAAATGCTCCAAAATGTTTCAAAGTGTTACTCATGAATGTCATTTTTCATGACTTTTTCTCATTATCTTTTGAATGAAGTATCATAATTTCAAATAAGGCACATATTATTTCACTTACAGAAAGGAGTCAAAATGAAACGTTAAGTAATGAACAGTCTACATGAATCCTTGATAAAAAACCATTTCGATGATGAATCACACTCAGTAGTCTTCTTTTTCGAATTCTAAGAGTGATGGTCTTCAAAGGCCCCTTGAATTATGAGTTTGCGTATTTTTTTTCCAACAAATATGTCGTGAAAATATCCGATTTGTTTCGTTTTCGGTACAATATACTGTATGATATAACATTATTCACTGAAATATTCGAAACTGCTTCCAAAGCAGGAATTACAAACAACATTAAGAAGAAATATTTCGAATCAGAATATCACTTCAGTTTCTAATGCTTGATTTCTGATTTGGAACAGAAAATTTAAAATCATAATATTGTAATTTGATGTTGAGTGACTCATTTCGTTTTCATTAATATCAAACAAAATATACTATACCCACCTTTACCATTAGTCTTTTGTTCACAACAAAGCCTGTAGTGAGAGTCCAAGGGTTGCTGAGCTTCACAAGCTTTAGCAGTAGTATTCCTCTATTTTCATTATTCCAATCTTCCCAGTGACACTGATATAAATTCCAATATATTTTTTCTGTCTGGAAAAATACTTCTTTCAGTAAATACCGGCACATACCATATTCCACAACAGCAACAGTTTATTTTCCTACTACTTATTTTATTATAAATTGAATTTTGAAATTTTATACAAATTCTAGGAATACATTTTCATCAAAAATCAATATATTTTTGTTTTTAGAAAGATATCGGCAAAATTGACTTTCAATGAAACATGTTGAATGATTCACTATTTGCATTTAATTCAAAAGTTCCTAGGCAAATTTGGTACTTTGCCTTCCATATTCACTTTCCGCAGATGATTTTCGATTTTGGAGAATCGATAAACAAAAAATGACGAAAAATAATCATTTCAATTTTTGACGACTTCTGAACGAGATATACAAGTGTGATTGAGATAATTACCATTCAACAGATAATTTCATCAAACCCATTCTGTTCCAGAAATTTAAGAAGTCGGTATCTACAAGTATACCTCTGAGAAAGTTTACGATTCTTATTTTCATTTATCAATTTAAGATATTCTTCAGTTATATCAATGGATGCAGGCTGCCATTTCCACATAGAAAATGCAGCTTGAAATCCAAACTCCAACCGTACGATTTTTAGAGTAATAAACGATAAGAATAGCGATACTAGGGAAACGAAAAACACACTGGATTTATTCTTCATGTAAGATAAGGTTCACTACGTTCTACGTTAATCAGTATATTATGTAGTGAACAACCATCTACAGCTCAACTATTAACTCACAATAAGTAACTTCTCAATCTGTTGAAAAAAAATCTATTTTTCCGTTAACCAGCTGTCGCTCCTCTACGACAACAACCCTCAGAAGTCGGAACTTGTGCGGGCTAAGGACTAACGAGGTCTTACCTTTTAACGTAACCGGCCATCGGATGCCTGCTTCCACGTTGCCCCGCTGGATACGGGAATAACAAAATCACTTGTGGTTCTGTTATTATTGAATGGCATCCCAGCGATGGCTTCATCCTAAGGTGTGTGTATCCGTGCCGCGAGGATGAATGACACTAAGCCTATTAGCTGTCTCTACGGAAAATTCGAAATACCGGGCGCCCTTTCCCTAGCTACTCGTGGGACTTTCATGGACAGAGTAAACTCAAAATTTCTTTCTGACGCTGAGTCTATAGAGTCGTCTTCTCAAGAGCGGGGTATCTTATAAAACCGCCTTGCAACAAATTCTTGGACAGCGTACGCAGAATCTTTCTCAGGTGAGAAAAGAAATCCCCATGAGCAGGTTAGCAAACGTTCGCGCTCAAGTAATGATTCACCAGAACCAGAGGCGAAAAAGCCTTGCACGGCTGAATCTAAGGCATCGTCAGGTATAGCTGACGTGCAAAAACCCTCATATGGGGAGGTTGTCGTGGGTATCAAGGTGAGAATCTTGCAACTCGACTATCTGACTACCTCATTAACATGCCTGCCCCGCTGGGAACCAAATCAGTTCCCAGCAGGACCTTATTCGGTGGTATTTCAGGTCACCATCTGACCTGAAATACCACTCACCATACAAACTTATCGTCTTCGTTAAGAAGCTGGGTTTATTTGGCCGAGTGTGAATAGGTGTGAGCCACAATAAACCCTCGCGGGTTTCGATGGAGGGTCGAATAGACTCACTCACTTTGGACCTAACCTAACCAACCTTTCAATGTGTGATTCCTAACACGGGTTGGACGATAACAAGTGAAAATCGATCGTTCTGCCCAGCGACTAACACGGCGGTCGATTTGAGTGTGTGAACACCCACGTCCGGCTCGAACGGTAGCCGGTAGCGAACCAGTGCTATTTTGCAATGAATTGCAATTGCATTTGCAATGAATTGCAAAATAGCACTGGTTAGCTACCCAAAGAATCTGGCTTTGGCCCGATCATGGGTATCATCAACGCACTTGACGTTCATCGCCACTCAAACATAAACATGCCCTGATCTACAATCGAGTTTTCCCAGCTTTCATCGAGAAAGGATATAGAAGAGTTGATTGCTAAAATTGATATTCGACCAAAAACTCAAAAAAACTATATTGAAAATTCTTGACTTAGGTTCACCCTATATAGATGGAACCGTGTTTCATCATCAAAACTAATGACTTCGATGAATTATACCATTTTTCGAATTCCAAATTTCATAGCTCATGAACAACTGAATGGCGCCGTGTGATTTCGTTTTCACCCGGTATTTTACACTAGCCCAATGTCAAATATCTTATGATATCTTTGGATGGGGTGAATGTGTTACAGAAATCATTTTTGAGATTTAATTATATGAGATGAATTATTTAAAGTAAATCAAGTTCTTGATATTTTTGAAAATACTACCTGACCCAACAAAATTTGTTCCGATTCAGAATTAACATATGTTGTGGTAAATATTATATATAGTGTTCGTGAAACAGGAATTTGGGCCATACTGACACGTCATTTTCATGCTGAGTAGTAGATTACGTAAAAAATAAATTTTACATGCATGCATGTTAACTTTCGATATTCAACGACATTCAATGATTATTAAAAAAAGTGTACTAAGTCAGCAAGTAACTTCATCTCTATAACTGTCGAACAGAAAATAGAAGATCTACCGCAGAAACAGTAGACTTGGCAACAATGAACACGGTACTTCTCTCATGCGATTTCTTCTTCAATTGAATCAGAATGATTCACAACATTCTGTAGTTCAATTGCATAACGGCTTCGTTGTCAAAAATTTGATCTTCTTTATCGTAGAATTATAAATAACACTGTGATATATATTGTTTTCATTATGACATAAAAATCATTCATGCGTGCACAATCACAAATGTTCTCACCTCAGTTGTCTTCCACGAATTATGACAACTATCACAACCTATATTCGAGGTGTGCCACCTATATTCGTTAAATATCTACTAATAAGCGGACTGTTAAAAAAATAAGGTGATTGTTTAAATTTCACAGGATATGCACATTGGATTGGAGTTTTTTTATTTTATTTTTATGATGTTCCACTTATATTGAATATATGTTCGCAGTTTTGGCTGTTTAGCATGTTTAGTTTGTTAGTAGGATGTGCGTGTTTAGCAATTTTCTGTTATCGAAAAAGACTTAAAGACTTGTAGTTTTGTATGAAGAATGGTATTGACTGCTCAAAAACATTCGAAATGATGACAGATGCATGCGGTGAAAGTCGTCGGGGTCAAAAAAATTTACATACTGTATATGTTCCTCATTAGAAAATTGAGGGGTGGATCGCACGTTGGAACATCAGAGTTCCGTTAAACTATTATGTTTTTTTGAATGATTTATTTCGCCACACCTTGTACACATTGACGCCTTGTTTTTTTTTTCTTGGTGTATTTTGACATCATACTCATTGAGGGATCGCATGTTGCAACGTTAGAGCCTCGTTGAACTGATATGATTTTCTTCGAATGATGTATTTTTGCCACACCCTGTACACATTGAGGAATTGCACGTTAAAACGTTATAGCCCCGTTAAACTGTCATGTTTTTCCACACCTTATACATATTGGCGTCATATTTTTTATCTTGAATGATGTATTTCGAGATACCCTGTACAAATGGGGGATCGCACGTTTTAACTTCAGAGCTCCGTTGAACTACCATGTTTTTGTTTTCTTTGAACTCATCCCCCATTTTCCACCTAACATTTGACAAATGACATGTATTCAAATACAAGAACGAAAATCGATCGGAACGCATGTAAAATAACTTATTTTGAAATGTCATTGCTAAGTACTTTGCTACCCCATTGCCTCCCTCCCATTTTCAAACGTGAACTCCACAACACTTTTGACTATAAATAGGTTTCTCTTTGGGATGGCACGTTGAAACGCTACACTTACGTTAAACTGTTATTATGTTTTGTTTTTTTTTGTTAATGATTTATTTTTGAAACAGCCAGTAGGCTCTGAGGGATCTTCAGAGCCTTGTTGAACAGCCATGTTTTTTCTCAAATAATGTGTTTTGTCACACCTTGTACACATTGACGTCATATTTTTTTTCTTAAATGATGTATTTTGAGACACAATCACAACCATATATTCAGGATTTACCACTACATATGATCCTTTCAAGAAAATCTGTATCGCCATTGACGTTATTTAATAATTCCTGAGCGATACTCATGTGACGGTTTCATTGGTCAACTAGCTAAGAGTTCCGTTTTGAAAATTTTTGTCCAAACATGGGATTTTCCATAGGAAAGTGTTGCCAGATTTCCCCACACAAGATTTCATACACCATTCAGATGGCGCACGATCCACTGTATTGGAAATAAAAATGAAATAACACGAGATGGCAATAAATATAAACGACACATTCCGGCATCTATTGGATTTTATGTGAAATGCTCTTATGATGATACGCTATCATTTTATTGATCGCTTCGTAGTGGAAATTGTATGAAATGGTTTGCCGACGAGGTAAGTCAGTTTGCTGAAGATGTTGCAACTGTGTTCCATTGTCCATTCGATATAGATATATCAGCCAGTCAGGAATGAGATTTCAGGCTAGCAACTCATTGTCATATATGTGACAAACCATTCACTATATCAGACAAAAAAATACGCGATCATAATCATCTGATACCTGAAAATAATTATCNCCACACAAGATTTCATACACCATTCAGATGGCGCACGATCCACTGTATTGGAAATAAAAATGAAATAACACGAGATGGCAATAAATATAAACGACACATTCCGGCATCTATTGGATTTTATGTGAAATGCTCTTATGATGATACGCTATCATTTTATTGATCGCTTCGTAGTGGAAATTGTATGAAATGGTTTGCCGACGAGGTAAGTCAGTTTGCTGAAGATGTTGCAACTGTGTTCCATTGTCCATTCGATATAGATATATCAGCCAGTCAGGAATGAGATTTCAGGCTAGCAACTCATTGTCATATATGTGACAAACCATTCACTATATCAGACAAAAAAATGACCATAATCATTTAATACCTAAAAATGATTATCGCGGACCATCACAAAATGAGTGCAATATAAACTATCAAGGTGATCAAACAATTCCCATCGTGTTTCATAACTTATCAGGGTATGATGCACATTTTATTACAAAAAACACTGCATTGGATTTCAATGGAAGTTTCGCCGTTTTGCCGATAACAAAGGAAAAGTATATCTCCTTCACTAAAAATATTCCAGGTAGCAATATCCACTTCATACTTATTGACTCATCCAGATTCATGAGTTTTTCGCTGAATACGTCAGTATCATATCTATCAGATTTTCCAAATCTCATATCACAGTTCCCCAACTTCTCGAATGATGAACAGCAGATTTTGCCAAAAAAAGGGTGTAATGCCGTATGACTATATCGATTCTTTCGAAAAATTCAATGAAGAATGTTCACCCCCTATCGAAACCTTCTACAACAAATTGGAGAATAAACCGTGTCCTAGGAGATCTTACTCACGTGCCAAGTTGATATGGGCTACTCTCAATGTAAACATTTTGGGGGAATATACGGGTCTGCATTCGAAGACGGATGTTATGCTTCTGGCTGATGTCTTCGAGCAGTTCCGCTCAAGTTGTCATTAAACTTACGGTTTAGATCCTTTCCATCCTTTCACTCTGCCTGGCTATACATGGGATGCTATGTTATTCAAAACGAAACAGCAACTTGCACTTCTCATCGATGTAGATCAGCTGCTGTTTTTCGAAAAGGGAACAATAGGTGGATTGAGTCAAGTTTGCTCCAAGCGAAGAGTCACAGCTAATAACAAATACATGGGTGACAATTATGATGAAGCCAAAGCTGACTCATACCTACTGTATTTCGATGTTGGGCAATGTCTCAATATCTACCATATGGTGGGTTTGAGTGGATGGACACCAACATTGATATCACAACTGTGCCTGATGATGCTTCGGAAGGATATATACTAGAAGTTGATCTGGAGTATCCAAACAACCTTCACGATATGCATGAGGATGTACCGTTCTGCCTCGATCATGTGGATCCTAAGACAAAAAAATCACGAGCCGAAAGATTGTTCTACATACGATGTATTTTCGACTCGTGATTTTTTTGTCTTGTAATCCACATGATAGAAGCAGAACATCATATCTTGAGAGTTGTTTGGATACTCCATGTCGACTTCTAGTAATGATCATCTGAAGCATCATCAGGACAGTTGTTATATCAATATTTGTTATCAGCTGTGACTCTTCGCCTGGAGCAAATTTGACTCAGTTGACTTCTTGTTCGCTATTAGAAAAACAGCAGCTGATCTACATCGGTGAGAAGATCAAATTGTTGTTTCGTTTTGAATAACATAGCATCCCATGTATAGCCAGGCAGAGTGAAATAATGGGCAGAATCCAAACCGTAAGTTTTATGACAACTTGAGCGGAACTGCTCGAAGACATCAGTCAGAAGCATAACATCCGTCTTCAAATACAGATCCGTATATTCCCCCAATGTGNTCTATATATACTTGATACGGACCTGTATTCATATGACCATAGCGTAAATTTTGTATTTCTTTACTTTGTCCCTTATCGTTGGTTGTTGACGTTTTTTCACCTATACTCTGAATTCCATCAATATTATCTACTGTTTCCGAATCGGCTGCTAATTGTTCACCAAAATTTTCTAAAAATCTTTGTAATCTAGATGGTACTCTACTTACGTTGAATTCTGCTACTTTTGTTTCTTCTATTATTTTTTGGTTCCCTATCGGGGTGTCCAATAACATGGCATCGTCGTCTAATGTTATATCTCTGGATGTTGGGGTCCAATTTACATCTGGGGGTTTCCCCCCGCTATTGACACTCATAACTTCCGTAAAATTCAATTTAATTAGCGAAGTTTCTCTAAAAAACCACTATTAATGCACAACTCACTATCAAACGTTTCCATTAGCTTTGGAGCAGGGCCGTACTGTGTATCAGAAGCTTGAAGAATAATTATGCAGAAGTTTTCGATTCTACTGTGGTCAAAATTGAAATCAAAATTATATTCTTGAATGATAGTATAAAACCAATTCACCATTTACCGATAGAAATACCAAACACGATTCAGAAGAAATATGAAAAAAGATTGAACGTCTAGAAATCGGCATCATATCAAAGATGGATGATAGTAATTGTCTGTTCTTGCGCTAGTTATAAATTCACTATCAAGTGTACTCTGGAAGATGACGAATTTCCAATTCCCAATTTAGAATACACTTTGGCTACTAGTACGTCTGGAGAATGAATTGTCGATACTTTGGATATTAAAGAGACTTCATTACACATGTCGATAGATGGAGACATACAATTCCTACAGGCGTGTCTATACTATACTATGGACACGCCTGTATAGACAGGTCTATACTATAGTATAGACACTCCTGAAGAAGCTATTGTGAAGCGAAACACGTGTTGCGTTTTTGTAGTACTTTTCAGTGAAAATCTCACAATAAACTGTTTTTTGAAAACGTTATTGATTTTCATCAAGTATTGGCCAATTCCATCACATAATTCACCTCTGATTCATCAATCTTTATCAGATGTGTTTTCATATCACTTAATCCATTTCATTATCAGTTATATCACAAGAAAGAATAAATATATGATTTGAAAGGGTTATATTTTTAGGAGTGATTAATTTTTGGGAAAGAAAGTTTTTGGCTTTTTACTACTCCATCTGATACAAAAAAATGGATGATAATCTACAAGAACTGTTCAAAATGACTACCCACGCTATAATTCAAAAATTCAGTCTTCTCCTCATCGACTCCCGAACTCTTTCAAAAACACCAGGATTGTTTCTGAATGCATTACACCCAGCAATCACCAGATTTCTCAAATCTCCCGCATTTTCCACTGAAGTAGTATAAATTCATGACTATAGGTGGCTCCATAGTTAATAATCCAGGGGGTTCAAGTCCGGTGATCGAGCAGGCCATAAGAGAGGTCCACCTCGCCCAATCCAGCGATCTTCGGATGTTACTATTGAAAACTCTCGAGTCAATATGTTAAAATGATCTGGTGCACCATTGTGCATAAACCGCATTGCATTTCTTGTAACCAATGGTACATCCTGCATACACTGAGGTAGCGTTTGTTCCAAAAAGTTGCGGTATACCTCGCCGATAAGTCTTCTTGGCAGCAATACCGGTCCAATTAAGAAGTCAACTACAATTCTCATCCAAAAGTTCAACGAGAACTGATGTTGAAAGCGATCTTCAAGCACCCCATGTGGATTTTCTTCAGACCAAACATGATTATTGTGAAAATTCCTTATGGAATTTTTTTTTTAAACTGGCTTCATCGGTAAAAAGAATGAGCGTCAGTAGTTAAGGGATTTGAACCAATATGCGCAGAAGCCATTGACAGAATGCAATACGTGGAAGAAAATCTGCAAGAACTGGTTTTATGTGGTATGGGTACAACAAATAGTTTTTGAGAATGTTCCAAATCGTACCGTTACTTACATTTGAAATATTTGCAATTTTTCGAGTAGAGGAACCTGAATTTTCTTTTATCATGGCTAGCACATTTTCTTCTACTCCTACCGTTCTTACTGTCACCCTGTATAAAATACTATTGAACCCAATCAGAACCAATCAGAATTTACTAAATTTTGAAACATCATATGAACAAGCTTTGAAGTTGCTCCATTTTTCTAATTCGACCGACTGTCTGATTTTCTCACGCTGGTCCTGCTCATCTTGAATTATATTTAGTCGAAAGAGAAATACATTATAAATTTTAATGAATATGGCTGATTTCACAACACAACAAAAAAATATTTTTTGAANTTCTTAAATGTCTAATTCACTCCAATCATTCAGATGAATGTGAAAAAGGATTGGGCAAGTACAGAATTCAACATTCGAAGGATCAGAGTATTTTTTTAGAAATTAAAAAATTTGAGTTCTGTTGGAGAGACATGATTGCAGCCAGTTTCTTGCTATTTCTGTAAACCCGTAACAGTTCATAACGGAGCAGTATTCTGTAATCCACAAAGTAGAAAGCTCATTGGTAGTTGGTACTTGTCTTGGATTGGAAGTCGAAATGATATTGGTAATCTTTGAACAGTAGTATCCTCTTTTCTGTGATTTTGGAGATATTTGTAAATTTCTGGTTTGTCCAGTAGTGGTCTCTCATACTGATGACTGCAGTTTTAAGACACGATGGAAACACAGCTGTCAAGAAAGATATATGAATTACATCCACTAACACCTGTAGAGCTTCAACTGGTAAGTTCATATTTCATCCACAACACAAGAATTTTCACTTATTATATCCGTTAAAATCGATAGGAGTTCTTTAATGTTCGTTTCACTCAAATTGTATTTATAAGTAGTTTTAACGAGTGTGTCCTTGAGATAGTGCAAAGGTTCTACTGAGGGTACAATATCTATGAATGATTTTTTCGCTATCGTGCATTGGAATTCGTTCAGCATGTTGAGATTTATGATCAAGTTTGATGATCTGAAGTTTATAGGTGATACTATGATTCTTAAACTGATACGATTAGAAAAAATTCAAATTATTCGAATTTTTGTCAATCACTGCTGCAATTTCTAGTGTATATCAAAGTGTTCCATCCATGCACTGAATTGCTAACATGAGACTGAGCAAATTCTTGAGAATACATAACATACATAACAATTTTGATTTCATTCACATGAGGGATTTTTGTTCATTCCAAACAGTTGATCTCAAATATAACATATATCAAATTATATAATAAATCTTACTTCATCAGTTACCTCCTGTACACATGAACATAATATATATAGCGAGATTATCCAAGATAGCAAAACAAAGTACATTCTGAAATTGCTGGCAGGGCTGATTTCCTAGAAAATAAAGAAGTAGTATTGCATCGCCACCTATATCAGACTCCACCTATAAAAATATTGCAATTGACAAAATGAAATTCATTGTCAATAGACAGATGCTAAAAATTGAAGGGAAAAATGCATTCAGTTTTTCAATGAATCCTTGGAACTAATTAATACAGTTAATTATATGATTTTCACTATAAACGGTTTTACAAAAACCGTTTT